GGAAGGAAGGAAGGAAGGAAGGAAGGAAGGAAGGAAGGAAGGAAGGAAGGAAGGAAGGAAGGAAAGAAGGGAGTTCTTACTTGTCCCTGGGGACAAGTAAGCATTAAGAAAATGACTCTTGAGTGTATTCCTGTTTGCTGAACATGACCCACAGCCTATGCCTGACTGGAGGCAATAAGTAACCCCCAGAAGTCCAGCAGCCCATGGATCTGCCCCAAACACCATCCTCCCCTTCACAGAAATGGTTCCCCAGGTGGCATTTGCAGCAGCCGTGAGTCAGGGCAGATCCCCTCCCTGCAGTGATACACTGAGATTATCTCCCAGCACATCAATGCCATGAGTGTCATGCTCAGGAGGAACAGGTAGAGACATGGTGGGTGCTGATCTGGGGGAAAAAGCTGTAAAGAATGGCCTCCACACAAATGCTGTGACTGAAGGAAGAAAAGAAATGGCAAAAATGCTTGCAGCACATCACTGCTGCATTTTGTCCATGCTGTGACACTCATGTGATTAATCTTGGGATATATCCCTCAGCTGCCCTCACAAACTGAGACTGGCAACAGGCACTTGCCATATTTACCCTCATGCCAAAGGCTGCAGCACAGCTCTGCTTCATTTGTATTTATTCACTTACCTGGACAGCAACCACCGAAAGTACCTCAACTGAGATCCTGTTAAATTCATCAAAACAGCCCCAAGCTCCCGTCTGGGCAAGGCCTTTGTAAATATTCCCACAAGACTGAAAAGAAAAAAAATAAAATAAAATTACAAGAGTAAAATCACAAGTGGAATCAACTCCAGCAAAAAATGGATTTTATTTGCCAGTCTGTTTATTTATAGCAATTTACAGCCTATTGTGGGTATTTAGGAAAGTGCATGGGAGCAGCAGGCACAACTCAATTACAATATTTATAGCTCTGCACAGTTTGCCTCTTGATTTTCCAATTGCCCTCTCTGACATCTCTGTGTTCCAGTTCCATTTAAAGGTCAGTGGGCTGAGTTACTGATGGCCCCCCTTCAGGAGAGACCTGAGCTCGATAAAATATGATTCAAGGCCACAAACCCACTGCACTGTGGCAGAGCACAGGGCTCAGCCCCACAAACCCAGCTCAAGGTTCAGCACACTTTGGCCCTATCCCAGGAGAGGATCCTGGGAAAACCAGGAGAGGTCCTTCCCCAATGGCAGCCTGGAGTGTGCTGAGAGGAAACAGCCGGGGTGGTCTCAACTGAACAGGTCAAAATTTTCAAAGCATTTCACATGGACTCTACCTCCAGAAAGGAAGGGAAGGGAGCTCAGCTTGAGTCTCTACCTCCTGAAGAATCTTGTGTAAGTCTTAGAAGAGAAAAGGGAGGAGGAGAAAAAGGTGTTTAGCAGAAAGGAACATAGCAGGGATCTGAGGAGAGAATCAATCTAAGCAAACTCAGCTGGATTACCCTCATTCTTCAGGTTTCATCAAGCCCTGAGTGCCTCCAGCCCCACATATTCAGCCTGGAGGAGACTAAGGGGAGACCTCACTGCAGTTACAACTGCCTGGGCAGGGGCAGAGGAGGGGCAGGGTTTGAGCTCTGCTCTGGGGGGACCAGGGACAGCAGCCAGGGAATGGCTGGAGCTGTGTCAGGGCAGGCTCAGGTTGGATCTCAGCCAAAGGTTCTTCCTCCAGAGGCTGGTTGGGCACTGTCCAGGCTCCCCAGGGCAGTGGGCACAGCCCCAAGGCTGCCAGAGCTCCAAGAGTGTTTGGCTGATCCTCTAGGGCACAGGGTGTGACTCTTGGGGATGGGCCTGTGCAGGGCTGAGGGTTGGACTGGATGATCCCTGTGGGTCCCTTCCAGCTCAGCACACTCTGTGACTCTGTGACAAAGCCCTGTGGCCCAGGGCAGCAGTACCTGGTGGTCCATCTGCTCGGAGCAGTTGAACACATACACCATCATGCCCAGGGCTCGGCCCAAATCCTTCGTTGTCTCCGTCTTGCCGGTGCCCGCAGGGCCTGCGGGGGCTCCGCTCATGGTCAGGTGCAGGGCCTGGGTGAGGGTGATGTAACACCTTCCAGGGTGAAGGAGGAAGGAAAAGGGAAAGAGACTGAGACTGGGTCCCACAGGTTGGGCTGCAGGGACATGGCACTTGGGCAGTGAGCTCCAGAGAGCCCTGAGCCCTTCTTGGGAAAGCTCTGCATGAGCAGGACCCGTGTACAAGCTGAAAGTCCTCTTAGGCATTAACAACCACCTCTGCCCTGCTGTGATTTCCCCACAGAATCATGGAATGGTCAAGGCTGAAAAAGCCCTCTAAGGTCGCCAAGTGCAACCATCAACCCATCATCACCACTCTGTGCAGCACTAAACCATGTCCTCAAGTGCCACATCCATGTGTTTTTTGAAACCTTTCCAGGGATGCTGATTCCACCTGTTCCAATGCTTGACAGCCCTTTCAGTGAGGAATTTTTTTCCTAAAATCCAATCTACAATTCCCACAACACAACTTGAGGCCATTTCCTTTCATCCTTGTTACCGGGGAGAAAAGCCTGACCCCCGACTCATTACAACTTTTTTTCAGGGAATTGTAGAGAGTGAAAAGGTCCTTCCTGAGTCTCCTTTCCTTCAGGCTAAACAATCCTAGTTCCCTCAGCTGTTCCTTAAATCCAAGAAATACTCATCTTCCACTGGGGTCTGCCCAACCTCTTCACCTCCAGGCTGTGCTTTCTTTGGACCCTCACACCACTCATTGACACTGGGTATGTCCCAGATAGTATAAGGAAAGATCAGCTTTCCTGAAAGACCTTTCTCTTGCTGCCCAGTGCTCTTCAGCCCAAAGGATCCCACTCCCCATTATGGTTAAATGCCTGCTCTGATGGCCTACAAATGTTCCCACCCAAGGCTGCATCAGGTCCCAAAGCTACTCTATCGGGCTGATGATGGACCCCACAGAGGTGCCCACATGTGGGTGTCTGCACCCCCTGTACAAGCCACAGAACTATGGTCACCATGGCCAACAAAACCTGAGAGTGCACGGGGGCTTGGTTTAGCTGACTAACGTGGGGTCTAGAGCCACCTGAGATGCTCATGGCTCCTGAAACATCACAGAGAGTGGAAAGATATGACAAGGGATCCACAGGAGACTTGCACACATCCAGACTGGCAGCTGAAATCCAGGTGGGACTCAGAGCATGTCACATCATCCCAGGTATCCCCACTGAGACAGGTGAACCAAGTGGCAAATGTCTCCTCAGGATGAGATGAAAGCTTCTGGACTTCACCAATCCTGCAGGGTGTGGACACCTTGCCCAGGCAGACACCCACAGTGAGCATCTGGGAGTCTAATCCCACCCTGGGATCTGAGGCACAGACACCCCAGGGGGCAACACCATAAAATCCCAAACCAGGTGTCCAGAGAAGGGCAGCGAGGCTGGGGAAGAGTCTGGAGCACAAGTGCTGTGAGGAGCAGCTGAGGGAGCTGGGGGGGCTCAGCCTGGAGAGGAGGAGGCTCAGGGGAGACCTTCTCACTCTCTGCAACTCCCTGACAGGAGGGGGGAGCCGGGGGGGGTCGGGCTCTGCTGCCAGGAACCAGCAGTAGGACAAGAGGGCACAGCCTTGAGCTGCACCAGGGCAGGTTTAGGTTGGACTTTGGGAAGAAGTTCTTCCCAGAGAGAGGGATCAGCCCTTGGAATGGGCTGCCCAGGGAGGGGGTGCAGTCCCCGTCCCTGAGGTGTTTGAGCAGAGCCTGGATGTGGCATCAGTGCCATGGTCTGGGTGACAAGGTGGGGTTGGGTCATGGGTTGGACTCGATCTCAGAAGTCTTTTCCAGAATCTGGTTGATTCTGTGATTCTGTAACAACAGGTGAGAGTTGGAGCTCTGCCACAGGATTGCAGGGACACAGACAAAGAACTAGAGGGGTGTGGGTGTCCAAAATAAACCCCTCTTTAGCTGGCAGCTCTTCCTCCAGCCACGTGGCTGTGCTGGTGTTTCCCAGGGACTCACCTGTCGGTCAGGGGGGTGATCACGAGCCGAGGGGTGTTGCCAAGGTACTCATAGGAGTACAGGAACTGGGCATCACAGATGTTGGCAAAGCAGTGCCGCTCCTCGTCTGACCAGCGGTGCCGGAGCTGCGACAGCCACACGAATGCCTGGGCATTGTCCACCTGCAACGAGCCCACAGGCACCATCAGGGGGGCCACACACAGCTCAGGGACTGCAATGGAGCTGTCACTGGGGATGGACTGGTCACTGCAAAGGCAGGGGGGTGAGCAATGTCACCTCCACACTTCCCATCAGCAGAGGGCAGGACCAAATTAGCAAGCACATCTGTGGGAGAGGAAAAAGTGAATGTCCAAGAGAAAGAGCAGCACCAAGAGTCCTGGAGAGGAGATTTAAGAAGCAGCATGGCATGAAGAGGCTTCAGCAATGCAGGGTGAGCAAAGGGGGCAGAGGCTGCTTAGCCAGGGAAGGGGCCTCAGAAAGCACCAGGGGACAGGGGACAAGGAGCCACGGCCAGCACTCTGCACGACCAGCAGCAGCCCTGCAGGTGGACAGACAGACACCTGCATCCCAAACTGGGCCAAGGCACCATCAAGGCCAGCTGTGCCTTGAAGCTGCCTCTGGGAGGACACAAAGAAGGGTACAGCCACAACCCAGCACACCCAGGGCACCTTCCCACCCACCTGCAGAGCTGGACATGAAACAGTGTCAGGGACATTGGGATTAGATGGATGGAGCACCTCTGCTATGAGAAAAGGTTGAGAGAGTTGTGACTGTTCAGCCTGGAGAAGAGAAGGCTCCCGGGTGACCTAACTGGGGCCTTTTTGTGCCCAAAGGGGTTCCAAGGAGAGATGGAGAGAGATTTTGGACAGGGCATGTCACGTTGAACAGAGTGACAGGACAAGGAAGAATGGCTTCACATTGACAGAGGGCAGGGTTAGGGATACTGGGAAGAAGTTCTTCCCTGTGAGGGTGGGGAGGTCCTGGCACAGGTTGCCCAGAGAAGCTGTGGCTGCCCCATCCCTGGAAGTGTCCAAGGCCAGGTTTAAACAGGGCTTGGAGCAACCTGGGCTGGTGGAAGGTGTCCCTGCCCATGGCAGGGGATGGAATGAGAAGAGCTTTAAGGTCCTTTCCAAGTCAAATGATTCCATGATTCTTTGATGACAGGGCAGTAGGGGAGGGGGGAGAGCAGTGACAGACAAGGGAGTCCCAAAGGGGTCCCTCTGGCCCCACACCAGAGCAAGGGAGCTATAAAAAGAAGAGCCATGTGCCTCCCACTGAGTCAGGCAGTGATCTGTCTGTACCTGCTCTACCCCTCCATAATCCCCACTCCAATGCCTAGCACGGGACCAGCCTGAGCTGTGAACACCAACCTTCTGTGCAATCATCTTTGCCACCACATCCCGAGCGTGCACGTCGATGGTGCAGATGGTCATGATCTTCTGCCTGTCGCCCTTGGAGAGCTGCCCCAGCAGCATGGTCACCAGGCTGTTCAGCTGAGCCACCTGCTTCTTGTGGTACTCCTTCATGGCCTTCTCGTAGCCTTCCTTCATCCTGGCAAAGGCAATCCCCACTTCTGTTGTCCACCAGATCTGGGTGCAGGAAAGAGCCACCTGGAAAAACAGTCTGCCTCAGTATCAGGGAAACACCAGAGCTTCCTCACATTTGAGTCTCTGATCCACAGGGAGATCAAGGATGAAGCATCTGTGACATAAGATTAAGTATTTTGTCCCACAGTGTCACAGCACACAGGACAGGGGGGACCTGCCCCATGACATCCATTTAATACCCTGTCAGGGGCAGACACAAGTAGCAGCTGCTCCTCAGGAAGTGAGTCCCTTTCCCATGTCTGACAACATGGGAGGCTGAGCTGGAGACCATGAGGCTGCCAGAGGGGCATCCAAGGGGCTCTTTCCTCCCATCAGGCTTCATCCTTTGTTCTTCTGTGGCACCTCTCACCTCTCCAGGTGTACGGGCTTCCCATGACCCCTAGGATGCAGCAGCCACTGCCCAAGTCCTGGGACTGCATCCTGCCTGGAGCTCCAATCAGAACACGGAGCTCAGCCTGGGAATCCATCAAGGGATTGCCAGGAGAAAGGAGAACTCGCCCTTCCTCCTTCCTGGACAGCACAGCAGAGGCCAGAAACATCCCCAGCATAGCCAGAGGCCACAACTGAAAGCAGGGAAGGGCAGGATGGAAGGGGAAGCCACACCCCACCTTTCCCAGGAGCGCTGGCAGGTACCTGGGCGGGGTAGTCAAAGAGCCACTGCTCCCTCGGCTTCTCCTCGTAGGCTGTGACAGCCGCCGTCATCTCGTCCCTCACCGTGGCCCTCATGGTGTCCAGAAGGTGATTGAGCCACACCTCGACCTGCAGGAGACATGAAATGAAACCCCGGGAACAGGTTTGCTCCTCCTGGGTCATGAGTGGCCCAGGGAATGGGAGCAGCAGCTCAGCTCTGCAGTCCAACACGCCTCTGTCCTCCTTTGGACTGCAGGACTCAGCCAGTTCTGCTCCTGCAGGATCACCATCTCTTTCCAGACATCAAGGGAACACGGCAGGTTGTGTGGAACTCCAGCTTTAGGAGGAACCAAAATGAACTCCACCGAGGAGCAATTTAGTTCAGCATGTTCCAGCTCCAGGCCATGACAGAGTCACTCATGAGACTGAGCACAATCTGCCAGCAGCAAGAGAGAGACTGGGAACACAATTCCTGCTGAATTTACTATTTCACAGGCAAAGCCCTTGCTGAGAGGACAGTTTAAATGCCAAGCTCCATCACCAGGGAGCTCATAGCTGGTATTACATACTTTAGTTTCTTATAATAGTCCATGGAGAAAAGTGCAACTACAGGGACAGAAAAGCTGAGCAGTAGTTTGATTCTTAAATTCTGCACTTCAACTCATCCTATGAAAGAAGAAAGATCTGGAAAACGGGAAAAAAACCTTCTCTTTCCAAAGGTAGCCATGCAGAGGCACTGTGGAATAGCTTAATCTATTTTCAATATGCTTCCCTTTTCCAACTGAGAGGGTAAGAGTAACTCTCAAAACATCTTAAAATAATTAGAATAGAAAAACCCTCCTTTGCACTGTGGGCTGGGCCACCTGTGCTCCACTTAGTGAGGATCCATCCAGAGTGGGCCTAGAGCTGTGGTGTAAGGAGGGATTAAAGTTACACAGCACCTCTTCCAGATTTTCTCATTCATAATGGAAGAGTAGTGAAGCTCTACAGTGTCTTGGCCATTGATGCCACCCAAGGGGCAGGAAAGCAGATTCCACAGAGTCTGAACACACAAGGCCCTCACTCTCACCTGCCCACTGCAGTCACAGGGTTCACTGAAGGGGACATATTCCTCCTCTCTGCTGTACATTCCCAGGCCAACCTTCATTACCTTTTGCTCAGAGTCCACTTGGAATTTCACCTTGGCCAAGCTGTCAAAAAGTTTGGAAAGATGACGTTGCACCTGCAAAAAGAATTGTATAAATAAAGTTACAGAGACAGGACAAGCAGAACTGAGGTCACCCTGCATGTGACAGACACAGCCACGTTCACAAAGCAAGGACTTGGAACAGCACTTGGCAGCACCACATCTCCTCACTCATTCCCCTTATGCTGCCAGTACAAGCCTCTTGCTGTCCCTCTCAGTATCTCCACCTATTTCTACCTCATTTAGATAGACGTGCCCTAACAAATCCTGAAACTTCCCCCACAGGAGAAAAGCTCAGAAACCATTCAAACATCACATAATTCTCTAGTCCCAATTTCCCTTCATGTAGTGCAGAGAGATCTCCATCCACTACTCCACCTCAACCTGTTCTCAGCACACTGCGGAGTTTTCTTCATTAAGAATCTTTCTGCTTTTTCCCTCCTAGAAATCAATTTTGCACTGAAGAAAAGCCCTGGATTTTCCTTCATGGAGAAACCAGATTTCTATTTCTGCCTAAGACACAGGATAAACAGCTCAAGATCCCCCACAAAACCCCCACCTTGACCAAAAGCACTTTTCCAGAAGGAACAGAATGATTCAATCCTGTCCTGTTCACAACTGGATGAGTTTGCAAAGCCAAGGGGGAGACACCAGAAGTGCTGCTGAGGCTCCCAACACCAGCAGAGCAGGTCACTGGTGCTTCTTCTAGAGCAGGACATCACACCCAGCTGAATCCCTGTGTGTTACACACCACTGCAGCAAAGGCAGGCTTCTCCAGGACTGGTGTTCCCATGGGAAGGGCAGGTCCCAGAGCTGTCGCAGCCAGGTGAAGGGCCTTGATTTGAAGGCGTGTGAGGACACTGAGGGCACTTGGTGTGTTCAGCTGGAGAAGAGGAGACTGAGGGGAGACCTCACTGCAGTTCCACCTTCCTGGGAGGGGCAGAGGAGGGGCAGGGACTGAGCTCTGCTCTGGGGGGACCAGGGACAGCAGGCAGGGAATGGCTGGAGCTGTGTCAGGGCAGGCTCACGTTGGATCTCAGCCAAAGGTTCTTCCCCCAGAGGCTGGTTGGGCACTGCCCAGGCTCCCCAGGGCAGTGGGCACAGCCCCAAGGCTGCCAGAGCTCCAGGAGGGTTCAGACAACACTCTCAGGGACAGGGTGGGATTGTTGGAGTGCCCTGTGCAGGGCCAGGAGCTGGACTCGATGATCCTCGTGGGTCCCTTCCAGCTCAGGTTGTTTTATGATTCTGTGACTTGTTTGTTCAATTCTCACTCACTGAGCCCCGGAGGATTCCAACCTTCCTCATGAGGTGGATACAGCTCATCAATCTTCTTACCTGTGATCAAGCAGGGCCCAATCCTGGAAGATGCAGAGTGGATCAAGAAGCAACAGGCACTCTGCCTCCTCCCAGATAAGCACATCTCCTTTCAAATCTCACATAAACAATAGAAACCTTTTCCTACATCCGGAAGTTTCTGCTCAGCAATTCCCAGTGTCCACTGGTAGACCCTGGCCAGTCTCAGGGCTTTGGCTGTGCTCCAGCACTCGGAGCATTCCTGCCACTGGAGCCTGGAATAGCCCTGACTCTGCCCCAGCTCAATATCCAGTTCAAGCGGATAAATATCATTGTGTATTTAATCCTCCTTTAGGAATTATCAGGCTTAAAACTACAGTGGAAAGGCTGTGAGTGTATCCAGGTATGATCCCACTTGACATTTGCTTTGATTTTACTGCAAATAGTTTTGAATAACAGAAAGCGTCAGGAATTTCTTCTCACTCCACAGAGCATTTCAGCACAGTAGTTTTCCTCTGCTTCCTGTGTTTTCTTTCTCTCCATTTAAAGTATCAAGCAGCTGTGTATCTATGACACTCTGTGGGCTGAAATCACCCAGCAGCAGAAAACAGATCCAAGTAGAGTTAAAGTTTAGTAGTAACAACAGCATTTTTAAACCTGCCCCATTCACGTGCTCAATATGAACACAGAAAATGAGGAAAAGCTTAAAGGAGAGATTACTCACAACTGAAAGGTGGAATAAGGAATATTCCTTACTGTTGGATAAGGATTCCTTATCCAACAGTCTCTGTTTGCTGTGAACATGTTGACTGGGCTTACACACCAATGATGCCTCCCAAACCAGGCAAGTCAGGGCACAGCATTGCCAGGAGAAGCAGCTGAGGATTCCTGGCACAGCTCCAGCAGCACCAATAACCAACCCCAACACTGCTGTTCTCCATATGGAAAAGCACCCGCAGGACTGAATCCTCTGAGCTCTGCCCATGGGGGATAGAGGTGCCTGACCCTTGGGAACAGCAGGAAACCATTTCCTACAACAGGAAGGTTCCTACCAGTTCCTCCCCAGGATGGCCCAGTAATCCTCCCAAGACAGCAGCTGGAATGGTGTGTTTGGAGTGATTCCCCCCACCCGGCATTCAGGCACCATCCCAGGAGCCCAGCCTGGAGCAGAGGAGCCTGCAGAGTCTGTGGTGCAGAGGGTCAGACACACAGCCTGGCCCTGCCACAGCCACTGTCTGACCAGCACCTGCTTCACCCCCTCCAGGTGCTGTGCTTCCCTGCCCCTACGATCAGGACACCCCAAAGCCCTTCACAAGGGGGAAGGAAGAAGCAGTTACTAGCAAATGCCTTTTCTGCCCTAAAAAAGGGACCTTTCCAAGCCACCAGTGATCAACACTTCCACATCGGAATGACCAGTCTGTGGCTCTTCCAACAGCAGATGCTGTTTAGTGGCATCCCAGGTTGGGATTCAAGTTTTGGATGAGACCTTCAAGGTGGTTGCCTCCCACCTCGCTGTGTCCCAGCAGAAACAAACCCCCGTTTTTTATGGCACCAAAACCACAGCTCTGCTCAGTGCAGAGCTCCCAGAACCTTCCACAACCAGCACCAGAGTTAGATCAGAAAACACCCAGGACACATGCTGCCTGTCCAGAATGACAGATGAAGATGAGCTGTGAAAGAGTTATTAATCCACATCTGGGTGGGAGAAAAAGTCCTCCAGAAAGAGCACTGCAGAGTCTCAAGACTGCATTTTCCACTGTGACACTCTTGACAGCTGCAAAATGCAAAGCTGATGCACTCCAAGGCTTACCATGTGTGGGTTAGTGCCGTTAGAAAGAATATCCAATAAATCTGTGGAAGAAATGAAGTAAAATCTGGGAAAGGCCAACCTCTTCATGTCCAGATATTCAGCCAAAGCCTTCTCACACAGAGACAACCTGTGGAGACAAAGCAGATGAACAGAGCCCAGGACAGGGGGCTAAAGATCTTTCCATGTTTCGTGCTGCCCTTTGGGTTATCAAGCAGCTTCTCCCCACCATGGGGAAATCCAAGGCAGGAGCTGAGCCTGCAGCTGCCCTCCAGCATTCCTGAACAGATCAACACAGCACAAAGTAACTCACAGCTCACTCTCTACTCCGGGGTCAAACACCCAAGAGCCAGGGCAGCCTCATAAAAAAGCAGAAACAGAGGTGGAAGAAGAGGTTGGAAAGATTTGCAGTCTGACCTACTGTTTTAGACAAGCTCTAAACTGCCACAGGTGGTTTCACATGGGGATGAACATATCCAGAACGGCTTTTATTCTAATGAGCCACATTTTAAAGTCTGATTCCAACCAACTCAGCTTTTTGTGTTTGCAAAGCATGAAAGGAAACCAGTTTGCTCCGATCTGCAAAATGAATCTTGCAGTGTTCACATGCTAAACTGCTGCTGAGCTTACAAAGTTCCTAAATAACATTCTCTGTGAGGAACATTGGCCTTATCCGATTGAAAATAAAATCCAATCTTTATTTGAAACGGAGAGCTGTTACTGCCAGAACAGCTCCACAGGAACTTTGAAGTGTGTTTCAGGTGCATTCATATGTTAAGTGAGCAGTGTCTCCATCTCAGGACACTCAGGTCTTTCCCAGGGAGCTGTTACACCTTGTGTCACACACAGGGATAATTTTGTAAATTAAAGAACATGGGCTCAGCTCTGCTGCAGATATCATGAAATCATGGAATGGTTTGGGTTGGAAGGGACCTTAAAATCCATCCAGTCCCACCCCCCTGCCATGGGCAGGGACACCTTCCACCAGCCCAGGTTGCTCCAAGCCCCATCCAACCTGGCCCTGGACACTTCCAAGGATGGGGCAGCCAGAGCTTCTCTGGGCAACCTGTGCCAGGGCCTCCCCACCCTCAGAGGCAGGATTTCTTCCCAGTATCCAAACTAGATCCTCTTCTCACACCCCTATACAGCTATTTCAGACACTGTGTTTGGGTGACAGTGAGGCCATGAGCTGTTCAAACCACCTGGATGGCCCTTAACATGTGCAAATCAATAGTCAGGATGAGAATTTGCCCCTACACAAAGCCAAACTCCACTCAGGGGTTTCAGGGTGATGGGCCACAAGTAAAAAGACTTGAGAAAGGTCAAAAAGGCTGAGATTTGTGAATGCAGATAATGCACAGCCTCAGAAACAGCCTTGGAGCACAATATCAACCAACTTCTTAGAGCTGATTCCCTCTGACAAAATCCTGGGACTGACCTTCTACCTACCTCCTCTGAATGTCCTCCAGCTGTTGGGACAGACCTGTTTTATTGGTGGCCTCAACTACATTCGGGGTTTTCTGAACTTCATAGGCCAGTTCTTTAAAATCCACATCAATCCCTTCAAAGCACTTGGAGTCCTAAAAAAGAACACAAAGGACACAGTCACAGTGACACGAGGGATCCCATCCTCTGGGTGTGGCTTTGGGATGAGGGGAAAGCTCCTCTGCAGAGAGCCTTCTGGCCAGTACAGAGGGGACCCCTACTCCAACCCCAAGGGCTCTCCCACCCATGTGCCTTAAACAAGTCCCCAATCAGGCCTTTGCCTTGTCATTGTATCCCACAGGAGCTGTGCATAAAGCGATCTGTGCAGAAGCCAATCCCTAGGACCACTCATTCCCACAGGATTGAATTCCCCTTTGAATAGCCCCTCCTGACTCTTTAGCTCCCATTCCAGATGAATTACCCATTTTCCCCGATCACAGCAGGGGAGATGCTCCCATATGGGGGAAAGGCCACCAATCTCATGGGTGTTCTGCTGTCCCCTCATGCCACACTGCCCACCCTGATGTGGGCATGGTGGCTGGAAGAGCAGAACCCTTCCTTGCCCTGAGTAGGGCCATGGAACCCCAGACCACCAGCAGAGGAGCTCCCTGACACCCAACAGAGACCATGAATTTCTGAAGCTAAATAGTGAAAAATAGATAAGTTATGTTCAAAATGTCCCTGCTCCCCCTTTCTTCCCAAGCTGAGCTTCCTGAGTGAGACAGGACACTGCACAAAAATGCTCCCAGCTTTCCTGGGAACACTTCCATGCTAACCTGTGTTAAGCCCCTGTAGCAAGGCTGTGGCTGAAGTCATTCATGGAATCATATAGAATAATAGAATGGTTTGGGTTAGAAGGGACCTTAAAGATTATCCAGATCCCCCTGCCTTCACTAAACCAGGCTGCTCCAAGTCCCATCCAGTCTGGTCTTGGACACTTCCAGGGATGATAATTCCACAACCTCTCTGGGCAACCTGTGCCAGGGCCTCAACACCCTCACAGGGAAGAATTTCTTCCCTAATATCAAAACTAAACTCATCCTCTGTCAGTTTGAAGCCATTTCCCCTTGTCCTGTCCCTCCATCCCTTGTTCCAAGTCCCTCTCCAGCTCTCCTGGAGCCCCTTTAGGCACTGGAAGGGGCTCTAAGGTCTCCCCAGAGGCTTTACTTCTCCAGGCTGAACACCCCCAGCTCTCCCAGCCTGTCACCCAGCTCCCGATGTGCATCCTGGCCCTGTCAGCACAGACTCCCCAGCCCTGGATGCATCCCAAGGAGGTTCAGCCTCCAGGTGATCTGAGCTTCATCCTCTGCTATGGAAGGGAACTGGCTGCTGGTTCGTGGCACCTGCCAGGTGGGTGCTGAGGTGCAGAACCCTGTGAGATGCAGGTTAAACCATGCTGTGGTTTCTGACCCACCCCCAGAGAGCTGCTGGATGTCACATTATGCTGGCACACAGAACAACCCTTGGGGCTCTGGGACCAGCCCCTGGACACACAGCCTGGGAAGCCAGGTGTGCCCAGCACTCACCAGAGCAGAGGAGGAACAGCCCAAGCAGCCCAGAGGGAAAGGATGGGGACAGGGTGGGCAACTGTCAGGTGCACACCCTGTCTGGGGGCCAGTCCCCCGTCAGTGACACTGCACAGGCACAGGGACAGTGGGGACACTGCACCTACAGCTTACTCCTCAGTGAAAGGCATGTTCCTCCTCAGCATGGCTGCCAGGCTGGAATAACTCTGGAAGCTGGACTCAAAGCCAACCTGAGGGGTTCACCAATGACAACTCTGCTCCATTTTCCAAAACAGGAGGGGGAGAAGAGCTACCCTCCCCCTGCACCAGCACTGAAGGTCAGGGAGGGGATGCTGCCAGAGCTGCCTGGGCCACCTCTGGTTTGATAAGTGGTCACAGCCCCAAGGCTGCCAGAGCTCCAGGAGGGTTTGGATGATCCTCTGGGGCACATGGTGTGACTCTTGGGGATGGGCCTGTGCCAGGCTGAGGGTTGGACTTGATGATCCTTGTGGGTCCCTTCCAACTCAGCACATTCTATGATTCTGGGATTTGCAGTGCCTGAATAATTCTCCTGGTGCTCTCCCCTCCGAGGGAAGAGGGAACACACCTGCAGCACTGAAGGAACCAGCAGCCTCCTGCCCAGCCCCAGTAACTCTGTATTTGCTACGCAGAAGTGGAAGGGAGAAAATCAGCCTCTCAGCACAGCTCAGGCACAACCTGTGGCACAAAAACATCCCATGGAACTACCACAGCACTAAGGGAGCCTCCAGGGAGAGAAGCGGCGGGAGGAAAGCCCTGCTTGGGGCAACTTGGGGCAACTTGGCACTATAGATAACTCTATTTAATAATAGAGGCTCTTCTTCAATGCTTTCCAAAGAGGAAGCAAGATTTGAGGTTTCCCACCTGGGGCAGCTGTGCCCGGATATCCTCTGAGCCTATGAAGATGCCCTCCAGGTGACACCACGTGCGCTGCACCTCAAACCAGAGGGCAAGGACAGAGTCGGCAGTGGAGAGCTGCCTCTGCCAGGCAGACACTTCCTCCAGGAAGAAAGCAATATATTTGGATGACATCAAATTCTGCAGCTGCACCTGGTTGTCTTCCAAAGTTTCAATAAGCTCCTCATCTGACTTCAGCAAGGGGATGTTGGTGCGGGAGTGAGGCTCGTACTGGAACTCCCTGGTGCTCCAAGTCACTCTCAGCTCCTTCAGCACTTTCTCCATGCTCATTTCTCGCACTGCTTTGTCCACAATTCCATGGACCTCACCCTCAAATTTATGCAGGTTGAGCCTGAGGAGGTCAGCCAGCGTGGTGTCTGAGTCCATCACAAACCTCACACCCGTCACCTGCATCAGCTGGTCCCAGTGCCTTTCTCTGATGGCAGGGTTTTGAAATTCTGCCACCGCCTTCAGGGCCGTCAGCATGTTCTTCACCTTGCTGTCCAGTCCAGTGAAAGCATCCCATGCCCTCATTTCTTTATCCAGATTCCGAATCTCTCTTGCAAACTTTTTACACTCCAGATTCATGTTTTCCACATTAATATCCACCCATTTGGTGGTCTGCCAGTCACTGAGGCTGGTGTTCACCAGGGAGATCATATCCCAGAGCTCTTTGAGAAGACACAGCTCCTTCCTGCACTGCTTCAGTTGTTTATATTCTGGCACCATGACTTCAAACAGACCAGCTGATTCAGAAATCGAGGTCATGGCTGACTCCATCTGTTTAATCTCCACGTGCTTTGCATCCAGCAGTTGATAAGGCTTTTCGGCGTCAAACCTAGAAATAAATGTTTGTTATTCACAAGAGATATTGTAACAACTTCTAAAGAAAACATAAACTAAACAGTGCCTCTGAGAGACATGGGAGAGATGAAAGGTCTGTAGTACACCTTGATGGTACTACATGGCACTACCGATGCCACCTTAAAGCAACGATGTGCCCTCAGCGTCCAAACCGCTAACACTGGACAGTGTTCCCAGGGACACAACACCCCAGGCACAGCACTGGGAGCAGGTATGGAAGGGCTCTGCATCCTCAGGACACGCAGAGATGAGCACATAGAGCTTTTTTTCCCTCAGAGCTGCCCTGATGGTATAACCTGTCCATACCTGAAGGGAGCTTCTCTCCCAAACCTCTCCCTGAAGTGGAGCTGTTGGGTGTCGAAGGCGGCGCAGCTCTGGCGCAGGGCGGTCATCTCGTTGGCCTGGAGAGGAGCAACATGCTGCCTCACAGCCAGGGCCAGCTTCTTCACATGGTTCCACTTCTCTGGCAGCTCCTGTGGGCAAAACAGAACTGCTGGGAGGCAGGACTTGCTGTTCAGTGTAAGATCTGCCTGATCTCTTCACGGGTAACCACAGAACAGGAAAAGCAACAGATTCCGTGTCTAAGACTGTAAGAAAGTTTTGTTGGGACGCCTCAAGTTGTGCCTGGGGAGGTTTAGATTGGATATTAGGAAAAAAACTCACAGAAAGGGTTGCAAAGCATTGGCACAGGCTGACCAGGGCAGTGGTGGAGTCCTCATCGCTGGAAGTATGCAAAAAATGTGTGGATGTGGCACTTGAGGACATGGTTTAGTGGTGAACATGGTGGTGGTGCTGGGGCGAGACCTTAAAGATCTTTTTCAACTTCAATAATTCTGTGATTCTATGAAAGGCTAAAGACACGATTTGGGATAAATATTCCCACTTATTCAAAATTTTGAACACTAATGAAGACCAAGACCCTACAACTGACTGTTCCGATTGTAAAAACATGTTCATAACCACTGAAGAAGACTCAATCCTGGGCTCACGGGATGGTTCAGTGCTCAAGAGAGAACAGTGATTCTGACATCAAGCCCATCAGGGCCTGGAACCTGCTGGGAGCAGCTGAAGGCAGGAGAATGGATGTGGATGCAAACTCCTCTGGCTTCCCAGAGCTAAAGGAACAGAGCCTGGGACGTTTGCTGCCAGGAGATGTTACACCAGGAGGACTCCAGAAAGGCCTACAGGGTAAATCCCTCCAGGATGTGTATACAACATCAGCACCAAATGAGACTGGGTTCTTTCTCAGCTCTACATCCAACTGTGAGTGCACAGCACTGCTGACAATATCCCCCTCCAGACCTGGCATTTTCTTCAAAAAGGGATTTTATTTCTCCTCACTGGGCCTCTCCAGCCATACCCTCAGCCCAGGCACTGACACCAAGGGCTCTGCTGTCCCCAAGCCCCAGTGCTGTGCCCTCCCCACTTCCCCATGTACTGTCCAAGCCTACAGGAAAGATTTTGGGTTTCTTTTCAGCCCAGTTAACATATTTGGGGAGATTAATAGAGACGTACCAACACTATGAAAAGAAGGGAAATAACTGAAGGCAGCTCTGAGGCAGCAGAGGTGACCAGAGTGGGGCTCCTGAAGGGTCTCTCCCTGGCACATCTCATTCCAAATAGACATCACTATCCAGGACCACAGCAGGACACACATGGAGCTGCTTTCTTTTCTCCTACTGACTACCAGCTCCACGCCCATCCATCACCACAGCCACAGAAGGAGCAGTACCTACAGGAACTACTGGTTTTCCCACCCTATACAGGAGCAAATCAATCATTCACACACGTGTTGCTGCCACTTGCCAGAAAGGATAAGTGTTTTTTGTTATCTCCTGCATCTGCAGGGCTGCCCCACATCCTCATTTCTTCTATGAGGAAAATAAATCAGTTGTTTCAATGTACTTGCACAAACAGACACCACAGCAGCAGTTCCTGGGCAGAGGGATTAGCAGAGCCAGGTTCCAGCTTCATGCTGGACCAAAGATGCTGCAGCAGCCAGAACACCCATGCAATGCAGCCCTGCTGGTGTTCAGGGATCTGCAGGACCCTGGGTATCTTTAGGACTCTTAACTCTTCCAGATTTGGTGACCGACCCCCCACAGATCAGGCTGCACAAGCAGAAAACCCAGGGATTGCTAAACCCCCTTCAGCTCCATTGAGCCTGCAGCAGGGAACAGGAGCCTTTGAAAGGCAGGAACTCCTCCTCAGCAGCTCCTGCTTTAACCCTGTGCCCTGCACAGACCCCCTGCCCACAGGGGCCCACAGGGCACCCATCAGCAGGCAGCCACACACTTCTCCACTGCATCCCCTTGGCTGTTGCCAGTGCTGTCCCCAAAGCTGGTTGGGCACTTCACCATCATTACTAACTTTCATCTCACGGTCCCCTTTCCAGAAATGAAAGGAATTCCCAAAAGAAAACTTACTCATCATAGCCATGCGTGAAAAGGTGCCAAAATACTGTTATAACCTGCTCCCAGTGATGCCCTCTGGGTCAAGCAGATCCAGTGGTTCAGACACAGTGGAGGCCTGAAGTCCTGTGAGAAGGCAACTCCTCTGCCAACATTATCCTTCCCATCTCCATCGTTGCTAAGAACCAGCTTATTTAAAAATAATTATAATTGAACCTAATTAACAGATGTATTTGAAAATGCATTAATTTTGTTCAAGAGTAATCGCTGGGAGTTGGGGCAGGCAATTCTATGTTTTTCATACATAACAAAAGGCTTAATCTCTGCTTTAAAAGAAAAATCTCAATATAACTCCAAAATTTAGAGCTATTAAGGCACATCCTACAATAGCAAAATACTATCCACTGAGGCCCTCTAATGACAGGGAGCAGGGCCTTAAATATTCCTGTGATGCTCTTCGGCTCCTGCTGCCTTTGCCATCTGCTCCTTGGCAAACTGTGTGTCCACCAAAATTCTCACCCACCTCCAGTTGCTGGTGGACTTCCCCTGGCACCTGCTGCTCGTAGGCCCTCAGCAGGTCAATGGTTTCCCTCAGGGGCTCAAACATGGCGTCGGTGGCACCGTGTCGCTCCTTCACGGCCAGGAGGTGCCCCATGACCTCCACGAGGCCATTGTAATCCCCCTTCTCAACCTTCCTGCTCAGCCCTTTCTCAGCAGTTTGGATGAACTCCTCAAGGTCAGCCAAGCTGTGGAACACAAAGCAGGGAGGCACAGAATCAGAGCAGTTCCTGTGGAATTAATATCCAGCCTTCCACAGGCAGCCGGGCTGGCAGGGACGGGGATGGCCCGGCTCTCCTTGCCCACTGCAAGCTAAGGGTAGCAGGACTGCAATTGATGCTCAAAAGGATCCCTGGATGTGGTACAGCTTCCTGCAAGGAATACAAAGACAGGTTGGGACTTCTCAGGCTGGGGACAGGGGAGCTGAGCAGAGTGTCACAGAGACAGTGAGCTCAGGGGGGCTCTGCAGAGGTGCCTTTGAGAGGACAGTCTGTCCTGTGAGGGTGGCCCTGGCACAGGTTGCCCAGAGAAGCTGTGGCTGCCCCATCCCTGGAAGTGTTCAAGGCCAGGTTGGACAGGGCTTGGAGCAACGTGGGACAGTGGAAGGTGTCCCTGCCCATGGCAGGGGTAGAACTGGATGATCTCTAAGGTCTCTTCCAAACCAAACCATTCTATGATTCTTTGACAGTTTTCACCCCTTCTCTTCCAACAGAAGAATCCAGTCTTCCCAGATGAACCTACCAAACTGCAAAGCTCCAACAAACAGGGATTCTCTTTCATACACTGCCTCACCTGACAAGGCAACTCCCCCCCTGTAAGCAGAGGATGCAGGTGATACAAATTCACAGCAGTTCAGAAAAGCAACTAGACATTTGTGAGAGGGAAAAAATCCATCCATGTCTTTAAAACAAAGGCATGATCCCTGTCTCTCCTGATGATTTATGTCCTTGAGCCATAAATCATCAGAGACAAGGAGAGTGTTTGGAGGATGTTTCCATACCTGCTTACCCTGTTCTTAACCTCACCAGATACTGGGTACTTTTTAGCAGAGGCAGAATGGGCTCCCGTGTCTCTGGTCCTTTCCAGTACATCCACTGTCCACCTCTCAAAGCACTTACTTTTTAAGTGCCCACTTAAATTCTGTGGATGCAGTTGGGCCTAAATGCATCCTTAAATACTTCACCTAATAAACTGCTGAGTCAGGGACTCTCAATAACAACTCCTAAATGCTCCTTCACAGCTACACAAAAACCTCTTTGCACAGAAATTATCTAACAGAATTATGGTGCTGGAAAGACAAAAGAGATCATATCACCACCCCAGCAGCTGCCTCCTCTACAGATGTCTGTGAACACTTCTCTGGGAGTAGCCAAGACCTGGGACACCCTTCACAACTTCACTGAAGTTATGACCAATAAATCAGCTGGGGCATCATCCTACACAGACCTGGTGGGAATGTATTCTTTCTAAACTTAAAGCCCAAACTCTTCCTTTTTGTAACCTGGAGCTACCTCCTCATGACAGGCTGCCTGAATTTCGATGCTTTCAGAAACAGAGCAAGTACCCCATGGCACTAATGCAGCTTTACTGATGGCCAGCTTCTAATCCTACGAAGCAGGCCCAGAGCCCCAGCAGAGATGGGATTATTTGCCTCAGGTTAATCAGGCAAACACATGCCCTGTTTAATGCCACACAGCAGGTCTCAGGGCCACTGCCTCAGGGATGTCAGTGGTACCAAGTCCTCGTCACTGATCCCAGTTTACGCTCCAGCAGAGACCAGGGGATGGAAGACACAGGGATGTGACGGAGCTGGCACGAACCATGGACCCTTCTCCTCTATTAGCTATCATAGTGGTCACAGCCCCAGGGCTGCCAGAGATCAAGAAGCATTTGGACAACACTCTCAGACACATGGTGGAATTGTTGGGGTGTCCTGTGTAGAGCCAGGAGTTGGACTCGATGGTCCTTGTGGGTCCCTTCCAGCTCAGGGTATTCTATGACTCAACCGGTTATCAGTGTGAAACAATAAAGCCCAGTCAAGACAAGAGGAATCCCAGAGCAGGTCCCAGGAGCAGAGGCAGGAGCAGCCCTCACCTGTGTGTGACATGCTCCAGGAGATGCTGCTTGAACACCAAGGTCCATCTTTTAATCTCATTCAGCAAGGCTGCCTTGAAAGGCCGAGCATCGACCCTCACCCAGCCCTGGAAGGTGCTGAGGGGCTCCATGTGAGTCACCTCCTCGTAGAGCCTCTCGTAGGAGTCGATGTGCTCCCTGAACTGCTGCAGCGTGGGTGGTGCCTCAGGGACCATGTCCTGGGCCTCGAGCTCTGCGGCCGTGAGGACGCGCCCGTAGATCAGGAACTGCCGGCTCAGCTCCCGCCGGTCCTCCCCGTACACGTGGGAATAGCGCTCCAGGGAACCCCGGAACTCACAGCACGACGACACCACGGCCTGGACACGGCACAGCAGCTCCTGGCGCAGCTCAGCCAGGCCAGACATGTCCTCCAGGTCTGCCTGGAGAGAGGAGAGAGCAGGGGAGGGGAGAGGAGGGGAGTGGGGGGAGGAGGGGAGTGGAGGAAAAGGGAGAGAAGGGAAAATGGGGGAAAAGGAGAGTGAAAATAGGGGAGAGGGGAGAAGTGAGAGGGGAAAGGAGAGACGAGAAGGAAGAGGGGAAAAGGGAGAGGGGGAAGACAGGAGGAGAGAGGAGAGCACAGTGAGGTGGGAGCAGTGGGCACCTTCTCACTGCCACACAGCACGAGGGAGGACCATGGCCACAGACCTGGTAGTGGGGGAAGCCGCTGTGTGTGGCCAGCCGGGGCACCAACGAGGAGATGTGGTAGATGCTGTTCAGGAGACTTTCCACCATGTCAGAGAAGCCATCATGTGTGCCAGGGTCCAGAGACGGGTGAAATACCAAATCTGGGATCACCAAATCCAGCTGCACCTCAAACAGGGGAGCAAGCCCCGCCTTGGGATCTGGCAGGGAGGAACCAGGATCTTTCTCAAGGGGAGAAAAGGCATCTTGAGCCACCATTAACATCCTACCAGGAGATGCACACAGGGCAGCAGGGGCAGCAGGCAGGTGGGAGGGAAACACTCACTTGCAGAGTCCAGGGCTGTTGTGTCTGCACAACATGAGGAAATGCTGGCAAAGCAGCTGGTGTGGTGGTACCCACTGAAGACAGTGGGGAACCAATGAGACACAAGTGATTTAAGGACTGGAAAACATGCTGAGGAAAGCTTTAAAGAGACCAGGCTCTTCAGCTACTCCAAAGGGAGTCTGAGAGCTGAACAATTACAGCAAGTAATTGTTGCAGACAAGAAAAACAACGGGAACCAAGAGGCTCTTTAATTTAGCGGAGAAAGGGATGAAAAAAACCCCCAGCAACCAGAAACTGAAGCCAGATGCAAATGTGACAATATGTGCAAGTTTTTAACAAGATGGTGAAGAACTGGATGCAATTCTCCAACTCAGTGTACCAGGAGGGAGGCATTCCTGGAGATGTGCTTTAGTTGGACACAAGCTGCTCTCAGTAGAGGGGGTGAACCTCCCTGGTGGTCTTAGGTAGGATGTCTGATCTAATGGCTGCTGAGCCCAGCTCGTCTCTTCACTGGACTTATGCTCAGGGACTGAGGTTTTTTGTTCATGACTTTCACGAATAGAACCAGCTCTTGAGACTGCCTGCAAATGAAAGATTGTGTCACCTTGATGCTTTGGGCATGGGAGGGTGGGAGATTGCTGAAGCCCAAGCCCAGACTTGGGAGGATGTCTCAATTTTGTCTACCCATTAATCCCTGCAAGTGATGAACATTCATCTCTACCCCTCCCCCTGAGGAATCCAGTGATGGAGTCACCCTCCCTGTCTGGAGGCTCCCCCAGAGACAGGGAAGAGGCCCAGTGGAAAGCCAGGAACGAGAGAACAACTTGTGGGCATGAGGAAGAGCACAACAAGAGATCTTCCTTTGGAGAGGCTGAGCAGCCACCGTGACCAGGGGACAGGAACCAGTGTCACCTGTGTTCTCCAGGAGGTACTTGAGCGAGCACTCAATGGCAGTGAAGAATCCATCCAGGACTATCTCATCCACATAATCCACATAGGCCTTCCAGGAGTCAGATGCTGGGGCTGCAAGTAAGAGGCTCTGGTTTTCCTGGAAGAAAAAGAAGATGCCTTCAAACACAGCAGGGCTGAGTCTGTTCTCCAAGAGAGCTGCCCACAGTTAAGGACTGATGCCAGTGAGCCCACGGGAACCAGCCTCCTGGAGGGATGGGATAGATGGATGTTGCTACTGGTGGTATGGCCACAATTTGCTCCTGTCAAGGGCTGCTTTGTCACCTGGAACAACTCAAGGGGAAAATGGAGTGCAGAAGAGCCTTGGCAGCTCTGCCACTTGTTCTCCTCCCTCTTCTCTGAGGACACAGGACTCAAGACTGCTTTGCAGCCCTGGGGAAGGGAGCACTGCACGTCTCAAAGGCTCATCCTGAGGCATGAAGACCCAGCTGGTTCTCTTCAGAGTCCAAGGCCAGACAGTGACCATCGGGAGAGGGCTGGACATAAAACCATCTCCCTCCAGGCCAAGGGCTGTCCCTGGCATGCATAACACCTGGCACCAGGCAGGTGAGGAACTGAGCTTTGGGCCTTTGCCTGGTCTGCAGAGGACTCTGAGCTCTGTCAAAGATGCTGGAAAGCACCAAAGTTTGGGACAGCAGCTTTTCTCTTGTCACTCAGCTTCTCCCTGGGCTGGCAGCATCACCTCCTGCTCCAAAGAGGGACAAGGAGTCTGAAACCGAAGGGTCAGCCCCAGCCAGCTGCCTCTGTTGGCAGGTAGGTACCTCGGAGCATATTTTTCCTTGGAGCAGGATCCCAAACCCGATGCACGACTCCCCTCTAGTGGCTCCAGCAGCCAGGGCTGCAGCCAGACAGACCCTTCCCTGGGCTGCAGCTGCTCCCAGTCCTTTCACTAGCTGGTGCTCAGCAATGCCAGACCACAGCCCTACACCCCCAGTCCAGCTCACCCACCAGAGCCACCATTAATTAACACTGGGTAAGATTTTCAAATGACTTAAGGGAGCTCATTTAAGGTGCAGCAGCTCTGGACATTTTCACTGGCACAGGGACACACAGAGCCTGTGAGGAGCCAACAAACCCCAGGGAAGGTCCCCCTCACCTTCAGCAGGGAGTGGATCCTCTGCCCGGCCTCTCTGACAAGGCTGTAGCGCTTTTCCAGGTGATTATGACAGTCCTCCAGGCTCAGCACTGAGTCCCTTTTACCATCCTTCCTCTCCAGGATGGGAGATGCCCACGAGCCCACAATGCTCTGGATCAACTCAACATTGTCCTTGGCTTTCTGCAGCCTCTGCTCGAGGTCATGGACACCTTCCATGACCCCGGAGATGTGATCCCACACACCTGGGGAGAAATGAGACCACTGACTCCCTGTTTTCAGAGCTGCTGGGCCAAGCTCTGGTGCATCTCCCTTCAGAGCAGCCTCTGGCTGTTTCCGCAAGGTCTCATGTATCTCTCACCCATCCTTAAGGCAAGAGACTCACCTGGACCAGCACAGCCACTTCTACATCCCTCCTGCCCCTACAAGCCACAGTTCAGACCAGCACAGCCTCCTTCCGGCCAGGAGCACCCCCACCATGGGGATGCCTGACAGCTCCTGCTCCCCTGTACCCAGGATGATCTCCTAGTGACTGACCCCAGAGGGAGAAGTGTGGGGAGAGTGGGAACAGCAGGCTGAGTGCCCCTGCCCTCACCACCAGAGCAGGGCCCCCCAACCCCAGGCTGTGCCAGCCCCAGGTGCATTCAGGTGCAGGGAACTTAGGGTTCATCTGCAGCAAAATCCAACTTTATTGTACAATGGAGAAAGATTTTGAGCCTGAGGATTTTCTGCCTTGCATGTTCCCCAGGGATTCACTTAGTCCTGCTCATACCACAAGCCTGAGGACAGAAACACACATTCCTCCCATGAGCAGTTTGCTCTCACCAAGAGGCTCCCTCTGCTCTGCTTTGCAGCTAAAGCTGCTCAAGGAAGAACTTGGTTAAATCACCCTGATGTCCCAGTGCACAAACACACCTCCAGCTGCACTATTCCATCCTGCTGGAAAAGCTAATGAGGTGGCCTGGGATGAGTTGTTCCCAGTGCCAGATGGCTGGGCCAAAGGGTTCCCACTCCCTGCACAGCTGGGTGAGGAAGCAGTGACTGAGTGGCATCACTTGGGCTGGCACAGGGGGGCAGCAAGGCAGGGAGCAGATGCTTCAACCCCAGCCTTGCCAGGTCCTGCAAACCCAAATGCTGCCATTTCACTGCTCACAGGGCAGCCTCTCCTGCCCAGAGCTCAGGCTGAACCTGAGGGTAGCAGGATCCTGTCCACAACCCCAGCAGATCAAGGGAATGTGGAAAGAAGCAGGAAAGCTGGGGGCTGCTTCTCATATCTCCAGTGCCTTCTCTGCTGGAGAGTCCTCTGTCCAACTGGGAACTGCCATTGGGAACCAGAGGACAGAGGCTGGGCACAGGGAGGAATCTGCTGAGACGCAGTTCTGTGCTCTGCCCCCTCCCCCAGCACCAGCTCACCCTCCATCTTCCAGGTCAGGGTTTCTTCTGCCTCTTTCAGCTTCACATCGACATCCTGCAGCTGCCCCTGCACCAGGGGATATTCCACCTCCAGCACTGTTCTCAGGACCTTGTTGTACCTGTTCCCCATCAGCTCCAGGTTGGCCACCAGCTGCCGGTAGGATTCCCTGGAGGAGTAGATTCCTGCTGCCGTGGGTGGGATGGCTCCTGCCCGGCTGCCCGACAGGTAACTCACCTCCCTAAGCACCGAGACCAGCTGGGGACACAAGGCACAGAGCTGAGCACAGGACAACCCTCCCAATGTCCTGGCAGACACCCTCCAGCCAACCCTGAGCACCCTGGGGGCTTCCTGCTGGTTTATTCCCAAAGCAGCACACTGGAAAGGGTCTGGACGCCTCCTGGTCTGTACTATCTATCTCCCTTTGATCTTTGACTCTGGTTTTCTTCCCAGCCAAAGGCACAGAGCTCTGTTAACTACCCAGCCAGCAAATTCCATCCAGACTCTGGTCCTCTCAGTCATCCTCATCCATGTGGATCACCCCTCAGATGAGGGACTCACATCAGCAGTCTCTCAGCAACACTGTTCCTGCAAACAGAGTTTGACCCTTATCTGATTGAATGAGAAGATGCTCCAGTTCTCTTGGTTTACTGGGCTGACTGGCTTAAAAGTATAAAAAAATTTAAAAAAAGTAATACCATGGCCCTAAGCCTGGTGACTTATCCTGTGGTCACCTTCCACCAAAGATATCCAGAGGCTTCTCCTGTCCCAACCAAAGCACTCAGTGCTAGTGCATGTTTGAGGTGTGATGGGACAGGATTGAGGGGGATTATTAAATCATAAACCCAAGTATAAACAACTCCCTGCAACAAAGGGAGCAGCAGGGTCTGCCAGTGTGATACATCACCTCTGGGACTAAAAGCCTTTGTTCAGTCCAGTGCCCAGTGAGTGGCAAAATCCTCCTGGGGTTATGCTGGCAGGGTGACAGAAACACAGTCCATTGTGCGGGCAATGGGGGGGTGAGGAGCTCTCCTGGCTGCAGATGAGCTTGAGGTGCAGCTCCCAGAAAGTCACCTTTCCCTCAGGTTAGCAGAATGTGTTATTCCTTCCTGTGAAGGTATGGGGCAGAACTCTGTCTGATCCCATCCCACCCACATCCTCTCGTCCCAGTTCCCTGCCCCTCTTTTCCATAGGAGAACTGGAATCTGCAGGTGTGACCATAAGCAGGTGAAGCCACAAGCACAGTTACTGCATGGCCAGGAGCCTTGTCACTGCCCTGGGTGACAGGCAGGGGTGACTGAAACCTCTCCACCACTGCCTGATGTCAGCTAAACCCCAATGTCCTGCAGAACTGGCCAAGGCTCCTGGAAGCACACTCCCTCTGAAGGAATGGCACAGGGGGGATCAGGCAGTGCCTGTCAGGAGAGTCAGTCGTGATGCACTCAGAGTGTGTCAGTGAAGACAAAGATAAAGAAGAAATAAAGAAAGAAGGGGTGAAGAGGAGTGCAGGAGGCAGTCTGGAAAGGTGGAAGAAGTAGGATGTGGTGGGAGGAAAAGGGAAAACCAGAGGCTGAGGAAACGAGAGGGCAAATGAGATAGAACCGAGCTCCACTCCCTTCTCTGCACTGCAATGTCTGGACATCCCCACCATGGGCTGGGGGGTCTTCCCCTCTCTCCCCTCCTCCATGGAATGTGACCTCTGGAATGCAATTCCATGCTTAAGAGTTGCAAGTACATCCTCCCTTCCAAGCAAAACCAGGTGCTTCTGTCTATTTTGGAGGGAATGAAGGGGTTGCTGAGCAGGCCCTGGGGGACATCAGACTGTCTGTCCTCAGTGTGCTCAGAGAAGAGCAGCAGCACTCACAGACTGGAGCTGAGGACAGGTACACTCAGCACATGCCAGGCTCCAAATCCCATCACCAGTGGAAAGGGTAGGAAACATTCCCTGGGGCCAGTTGGATCCCAACTTAGCAAGCAGCTTTCAAGGAGATGGACAAGTCCTTTGACTGAGGGGCAAGCTGGAATGAGATCTAAAATCTAAACCCTTTCCTTGGACAGTAGCAAGCCGCAGGGATAGGGGAAGCTTGGGATGCCAGTGTTTCCAAGGCCGCTGCAACTCCTCCCCTTCCCAGCAAAGGGCATTTTTACAGTCAACAGACCCTGGCTCCCACCAGGGCCCAGAAGCTCTCAGCCCATCTGTGCTCACTGCTGGCTCAGACCCTGCTCCTGCTCCAGGGGACCCAGAATAGAACTTAAATCTATCATCAGCCTCATGCTCCGCAGTGAAGGAAACACTGGAGTCACAAAACAAACCTTTGCTGGGTGTTTTACACCCTCTCAGAAGCTCAGGTTTCAGGTACACATAACATAAACCCACCTCTGGAGATGATGTCCCAACACTCCCCACACCAGTATTGACACTGGTCTAGATGGGCTGACACCAGTTACACACCTGGCTCCTCAGGGACTTTCTGCCACTGGTTCTGACTAGAATTTGCTCTGCTAAAACTATGATCCTGATATTTCTCCAGGAAACAGACCCCATGAAGAGGATGGCAAATCCATGTCGCCCACCACAGAAAGGGTTCCACAGACCTCAGAGAACAGACCTGGTACCAACCCCACCAGACCTCCGAAAAGTGGGGCACAGCCTGGGGACATGCCATGAGAGGCAGGAGAGGGGCAGCAGTTCTTACCTGGGGATCAAAGTTGACAGTGATCAGTTTGGTTTCTGGGTCTCGCCGGATGAGTGGCTGAGTCAGGTTGTACTGGGATTTTTCTGAGACTGTCTGGGACCAGTCTAAATACAGTTTTTCCTGATACCTGACAGAAAAGAGAAACATCACCATGTGGTTACCAAGACAGCAGACCATGGTACGTAACTGAATAGAAGCCCTGTCCAATCTGAGGATTAAAACCATGAAGGAATATTAAAAACCCATCCATGCCATCTTCCTAAAAATCATGGCTTCCATGACAAACACCCAAAGACCAGTGAAGCATCAAAGCAGGAGGACAAAGCTCTCTCAAGTACCAGTTTTAGCAGAGGATTCAGATTTGGAGACAGACTTTCCAAAGCATTTAAAAAGTGACAGATCAGCAGCTGATGGGCATTTCCGAAGTGTTTAAGCAGGGTGGGTGCCACAAACCCACAGGGATGCTGGGGGCGGCTGCAGCTGCCCTCACTTCTCCCAGTCAGTGCAGAGAGACCTTGACACCACTGGGATAGGAACATAGAGGGCAGAACAGGGGCCTGGTACCTCACATGACATGGATAGTCCCAACCACCCAAGTAACAAAGTCTCTTCTGAATCAAGTTGTCATCTGAGCACCTTGGCTGGGAAATATCACCAAAAACCAGCACCTCTGTTGGGTCACCCAGACCCCCTTTGGGGCTGCTCCCTTCTGAAAGGCTGTGCTAAATTATCCATTATCCAGCCTTTGTTCTGCTACTGGGGAACAGGGGTCCCTCCATCCACCCTGCAGGACCCAGCAGCCTGGGGCCTCAGCTGCCTTCACTGCTGACAGGGATGAGGCCCTGCAGGGATCTCCTCCCTGAGGAAGAGGCTCCCCTGAAGGGTCAGCCCAGAGCAACCAGTTCAGGTTTAACACGAAACATTGAGATGCCAAGTCATGGGCAACAACTCCCACTTCAAATTGTGGAATATAAATATTACAGCCACTGCAAACACCGTCAGTGAGTGGGCATGAGTGGGCAAAGAATTCTGCCCAGCCCAGGCCTTCTACCACAGCAGCTCCTACATCCCACAGCAGCTTTTTCCAAAGTTTCATTGGGCTGCACAGCCCCTGTTCCTCCCATGCAGAATTCTCCTTTCAAGCCATCCCAGGAAGTCTGTGGTGCACAGCGACAGGATCCCTCCTCCTCTCCCAGCAGAAAACTCCCTCTGGCTTAGGAAGAGACATTCCCAGGGCCTGGGCTGGTAGAAGTGTTGGAAGGTAGCTTAGAGGAGGAGAAGGTTTTCTCACACAGGGCCTGAGTCCCACTTACCTGTCGAGCAGCTGGATCATTTCCTCATACTTCTGTACCACCCTCCTTCCTTGGGCAGACTCCAAGCTCCTGGAGACACAAGGGACCAGTTCAGTGCTATGTTTCGTCCTGACGGGCTGCAATCTCTATTTACCCCTTCCCAAGAAACCCCACCAGACTGCAGGCAGGTCACTGCTGGGTGAATGACTGTTGGGTGATGAGAATTCCAGCACTGGTTCATTTTCTGGATCTTGGGAGACTAATGCTGAGAAAGTTGACTTCTGTCAGTACCCAAGGGCTGGGCTGCTCCCAGGGAGGTCTTGGAGACCAGGCTGAGTGGGATTGCAGTGAGAAAGATTCTCACAAAATCACAGAATATTCTCAGTTGGAAGGCACCCACAGGGATCATCAAGTCCAACTCTAAAATGAATGGCCCATACATCAGACCCATGACCTTGGTGTTATCAGCATCATGTTCTCATTCCAATACTTCTTTCAATTGCAACCTAGCACTGGGTCTGAAAGCTGAAGTGCCCATCTACTACCCCACTGTGCCTCTTACCCACTTCAAAACAAACCCAATTAATGAGTTTCTTTAAAAAAAAAAGATGGCAGGGAAGCAAACAGCACCAGTGCACTCACTTCACACCTCTTCCACTGAGGATTGTTCAAGCTGTAACCACTGGGTAACGTTCAACTCAGAAAGAATATTGGATTGATTGGAGACAAGATTTCAAGATGGTCATAAAGCAATTTATCTGGAGCAGACACTCACAGGTGTGGGATTTGCCTGAGGTGATCAAAAGGCCTCTGGATCCGCGCTCGCAGCTCCCGAGCCCAGCCCAGCGCTCCAGCCACGGGGGGCATGTTCTTGTGCAGGGGGGGAGACCCTGGGGGGAACATAGAGACAGCATTTCACTGAACACAGCATTGTAATCCCAAAGATAAACCAACAGGCTCTGGAACCCCAAAGATACACCAACAGGTACTGTAATCCCAAAGAGACACCAATAGGAATCCATCTGCACAAACTGCCCTGGTTTCCCAGCTTCTTCCCTGAAATCCAATGTCTGCTACATGATGTAGGTCTGGGACAAATCCCCCTGTGCCCCTGGACCCTAAATGAGGGATCACAGGAGAAGCCCAGCGTGTGGTAGAACCAGAGCTGATCAAGGCATCCTGTGCCTGGGGTGCATTCCCTGCTCCCCACAAACACCAGGGGAGGGATTTCTGCCCAGGAGCTCCTTGTGACCATGCCATCTAACCCCCACAGAACAACACTCCCCAAATCCACAGCAAATTCTGGACTCATTCTCCTTTGTTAATCTGCACTGGTTCCAGCAGTGCTGCCTCTCCAGGACTTGCCTGGTTCCAGAACAGTCTTCCTGAGGTAAGGAAAAGGGCTGCTGCTCAAAAAGACATACTAATCCTCATAATCTGACAGGAGTCTCCCCATTCCCTCCTGTGCCAAAACCCTTAATTCCCAAGTCCCCCTTCCATACTCAGCATTACAAGGGAGAAGCTCAGCATGTGCCCTCATTCCCACTCACACATACACCTTTAAAAAAGGATATTTCAACAGATTATTTGCTTTAATGCCAAGAACAGAGCATTCCCAGACATTTCCATTTCCACAGGGAGCTATAAAGGCTGAAAACCTTTGCAATTTGGGAAGTCCTGATTTCCTTAGCAAAAGCAAATTATTTTCCCCTAAAATTAATGGAAATCCAATTTTTTGTAAAGTCAGTTTTCCTCAGCACAGGGCACCCACCGAGCTCGAGCCCTGCCTGGGTGTGCCTGGAGTAGATGAGCCTGGTCTGGTCCAGGGCAGTGCTGAACATGCTGATGAGAAGAGGCCATTTGTCAGCAGCAACCGCAGCGACCACTGGACGCTCCAAAAGGCTCTGGAACATGGTCAGCAACTGAGGAGGGGGAGAAGCAGGGAAACAAATGGGGAAATATTCACACCTCTGCAAAGAGACCCACTGGGATTTTCCTCACTGACCCAGATGCTTCATCTTCCTCAGTAGCCCAAAAGTCTGCACTGATGGGCAGTTTGGCAAAGGGAATTTTTTTTCCCCTGTTTTTCCAAGTAGTTCCTCCCTTTCATAGAATCATTAAGGTGGGAAAAGACCTCCAAGACCATTAGGTCCAACCTTTGACCGAATCCCACCGTGTCCACTAAACCACACCATGGAGAATATCTTTATGAGAGATGCTCAGATTTTCTCTGGGGGAGAACCATATTCCCACTGTCATTCTTCAAATGCTTCAAAATTTATTATTTAAAAAAAACCCACAAACCCTCAGAAATATAAATACTAGCACTTCTATCACTTTCTACAGTCTTTTCTACAATTATATTGAAATTTTTCAGAAAAAACATTTACTTTCTCTGCAGGATGGATTCATTGGTAAACAAACCAGCCTTGTTTCTAAAAAAACCTCAGTTTTCAAAGTCGAAATGCATCCATATTTTAACTAAAACAACAAATTGATATTAACAATGACCATCTGGGTTTAACAGCAGTTCTCACCAGGAAATCAGAGTATCACAGAATGGTTTAGGTTGGAAGGCATTTTAAGGATCATCTCATTTCACCCCAATGACATGGGCAGGGACACCTTCCACTAGATCAGGTTACTTCAAGCCCTGTCAAACCAGGCCTTGAAAATCCTGGACAAAGCATCACTTCCTCCAGCTCACAGAGAGACCAGTAAAACTTCTGGCATCCCAAAGCCTGATTTGAGTAATTCCTTTGACTACTCTTCCTCAAACTGAGTAAAGGTCTGCTCTGTTTGTGTCTTAATGGGAAGAGCAGGAACACTCCCAAGGTTTCCACAGCTACCTAGCTGCACAGCTCATGAGGGACCCACAGGCCTGAGCATCACTCACCAAGTCCAGCCCAGCAGCTCCAAGTGTCACTGTCCCCCTGTCCAGCCCCATGTGCCTCCAGCACTGCCTGGGAGAGGCCAGTTGTCACTCCCCAAGGCAAACTGGGACAAGGGAGGGGACACACCAACCTTGAAGATGTGCTCCAAGTCCAGGGTGTCATCAAAGGCCTGGGTGAACACAGTGCCCAGCCGATGGTCGATGTCTTCTACTTTCTGCTGGAAACCCAAGGCATCCTGCTCAAACTCCTGGGGGAAGGGGGACAGTGAGCTGTGACACACAGAGACCAGCGAGATATTTCTTTTTATTATTCACCAAGAATTAAACCACTCCTCTGGCCAACCTCCAGCCAAGTCCCACGGAGTCAAGACACTCCTGTCCCATGGTTGGACCAGGGCCCTCCAGGATGGATCCACAGTCCAATGGGTACTAACTTCAACCTAGATGCAAGACAGACCTTTTTCCACACTCTCTTACCCTGCACTTGATCTGAAGACCACACCATCATCCAAAAAACCCAGAGCTGAGCTGCAAACCCCATCTACTTTCAAGCCAAAACGTCTCCATGGTTCTGTTAGTTAGGTGACTCCAAGTGGGGCAACAACAAAGGCAGTTCCAAACCACTTGGCATGGGCTGCCCAAGGGGGCTGTGAAGTTCCCCCTCTTGGACACTTTCAGCCTTGGAGTTATTGATCTGGTTCTAGCCCTGCTCCAGCTGTGCCTGTTTTGAGCAGGGAGGTGGACCAGGTGATCTCCAGAGGTCCTCTCCAACCCCAGCAGTTCTGTGTTCCTGTGATTCCCATCAGCCTCTGGCACTGCTCTTCTTGCCCCAGTTGGAATAAATCCTTTGAAGATCAAATGTAAAATCTAGGTTTGTTTTCCTGCAGGTAAAAGAGTCCACATCAAAGTGTGAACCTGACAAATGGGGAGACTTCAGGGCTTCTGCCCTGCCTTGGTCAAAGCCACCAAAAATGAGGCCATGTGTCTTTTTTCTGGAAGGAAAGAGCATAAGGCAACAGCTTTTGCTGGTATCACTGCTCAGCTCCAGCACCAACAGATGCCACGTTTGAGCTGAAAAAGAGGCTCTAGAGAGTAACAGAGGGTACAAAACTCAACTACTGAGAGAACAAGCACAGCTCAGAGTCACACAACACACCACAGGTTCACTGGAACCAAACCAGCTCCTGCAGAGCCACTATCACACTGTCACCCTCCTTCAGAGCCCTCCCTCCTGAAGAAGAGGGAACATGGAGCAAGGGGCTTTCCAGCAGGATTGTCCCAGGCAGCACCAGGGATGTGGCACCCACTGCAGAGTTGGACCAGGAGCTACAGGGAGCAAAGCATGAGCCACCCATCCCCACAGCAGACAGGTCCCACCACCAAAGGAAAGACTCCCAGTCCCAGGTCCCACCCCAGCCCAGTCCCCCCTCAGCTGCCCCAGTGCCCCAGTGTAACCTGGAGCCCCTCACACAGAGCTGCCCTCAGACCAGCTCTGTCCCTCCCTCCTCCAGGTGCGGGGACAGGCCTGATCATGTCCTGCTCACCAGCCACAGCAAACTGATCCCAGGGCAAATGGGGAAGCAGCAGAGGAAATCAGAGATCCTCTGAGATCCCACACAACTGTGGGACATGGATCCCTTGGGAAATGCCATTCCCACCCTGCCTGCACAGCTTCCTGCTGGTGTCACAGCCTGGGACAGGAGCTCTGAGCAGTCTGGCTGTCCATGGTACATTGGCTTTGCCCTGTGTGTGCCACACAAGTATCTGTGACCCCCATGGCCATGGAGCCATGACCCACAGGGCAAGGAATATTCCTTTAATTAAAGCACTACTGATAATCAAACACGGAGTCCTTGAATTCTGAGAGCTGAGATGCCACATGTTTATCCAGACAGGAGCAACACATCCCCAGGGACTGTGGAGCTGGCCCTCATCACAAAACCAGGCACCAAAGCAGGAAAGCGGGAAAGCAAAGGGATGGGGATGCTGGCACAGGTCAGACACACCAGCAGGGAAAGCTGGGGAAAGGCAGGGGAATTCACATTCCCCATCTGCACTGGTCTAAGGTCCTGAACCAGCAAGGTATACCAGACATGGAGCTGCAAGAACTCCGAAATCTCTGCAGGAAGGGCCCTGTTCCCTTCAGGGACTAATCAGATCACAACGAATGAGCTGGGAGGGAGCCAGCAGGAGCCAGGGCTCAATCACAGAGGGAGCTGCTGCTCTGGGAACACAGATGTCCTGCTGGTGCCTCTGCAGGCTGGTCCCACCTACCGTGTTGGCCAGGTCTAGGCAGTCGTAGCTTCGCTCTGCAAACACCTTGTAGGCCTCCTGGAACTCCTCATACATGTCCAGGACCTGCTGGCCCAGGGCCCTCCCTCTAATCCCGCTGAACTCCATCTTCTCCAGCTTTGTCAGGTCCAAGGCTGTGGTCAGGAGACCCTGCAGAGCCAGAGGGGGCACACACAGGGTCAGGTGGGGACAAAGAAGATGACAACAGTTGTCACAACACTGTGCTGTGTCTGCTGAAGGACCTCCCTAGGCACACCACAGGGGAGGGACACAACTGGGAAAGGGGAGCCAGGTCCCACCTGCCCTGGGCCAAGCCCTGCTCACAGCACACCCCACCCCAGAAGGCCATGTGCTGCCACCAGCAATACACCTTCAATTGTTTTTAAGGGTGTTTAGAGGACTGAAACAAAGCAATGTGTGAGACCCTGAGACATCATCCAGCACAGCTAAGAATCCCAGTTTTAGGAGTATTAACCAAGAAGGGAACTCTGATATTTACAGGTACTTGAACTGCCCAAGGCTCCTGCTCAGCCACAGCTCCCTGTGCCCACACAGGTGTCACTGCCCCTGCCTAGATGGCCTTGTCTGCTGAAAGGAGGACACAGGTCCTTCCTTCCCAACCTCAGGCGGCAGGGGAGCAGGGCAGAGCCTGGTCCCACAGTGCCAGCTCTCAGGAGGTGCCCCACTGACCCAGCTGTGGCAGCTCTGCCCCCCACACCCCATCCATTCCTTTTGTTCAGGCTAAACAAGGTCTGCTTTCCCAGAGGAGCAGGAGAAATGCTCTGATCTCCAGCACAGGAATGTCCTGCTGGCTGTCCAGCTTGCTGTGAGCTCGAGGACCACCCCAAAAGCTGAGTTGAGCAGGTATGGAGCTTCACCCCCAGGCAGGCAGCACTTGGGCAGCACCTCCCAGACAGGGGCTGCCAAAGGGGTCCCAGTCCAGGACACAGCTGCCCCTGTGACCACAGATACTACTCTCTGCACCAGCCAGCACAGTTTGGTTATCTGCACACCAAATCCTATTGGAAACCATCAATTCCAGAGAGCTGGGATTGTTCAGCCTCAAGAAAAGAATGCTCTGGGGAGACCTTAGAGACCAAGTGGTGCCTGGGCTCAAGGGGAGCATGTGGCCTCTCCAAGTCAGACAAGACACAGACCTAGAGTGTCTCTGAAGGCCACAAGAGGTCCAGGAGTTTGTACTGGCTTATTTACAGCCCCAAAGTCCCCATCCCCTGCTCAACAGGAGCACAGAGTCCAAGAGGACTCTTGGGAGCACTGACCAACCTGAGCAGAAGGACACAGCAGTTTATCTGACAAATGCACTGAGCAAGACCCAGTCAAACAAGGTCCTGGCCTTGATGCAATGGGCAATGGGACAGTGCAAAGAGCAGCCCCATTCCCTGCCATCAGGGGAGGCCACAGGGAGGGAAGATACCAGCGAATGAGTTCATGGCTACAGAGTTCTCCTGATGGCTTGCAATACTTTTCAAGACCAGAGTCTCACCTTCACCACCTCCAGCCTCTCCAGGAAGCTGTCCAGCCTTGCAAACACCATCCAGGAGTGGAAGTCCCACTTCCTCACTTCCTGGCCTGGCTCATAATACACGTGCAGATTTTCCCGCCTCTCCTCAAACACCCCTTTGAAGCCATTCAGGATGTCAAGCACTGTTTGCACCTTGCCCAGGCTCTCTTCCATCTCTCCTTTCAGAAGGTCTTCTGGAGACAGGTACACCACGGCCTGGAAGAGCAAAATCACACCTGAGAGGTCACTTCTGCCAGCACAGCAAACAGTGACTTCTTGCACTGAACATGTCTGACCCTGCCTCTGAAATTCAGAATCACTCTGCCAGGGAAGGATGGAGGAAAGGAGGAAAGAATAGACTTTCATAAAGAACTTCCTGTGGCAAACACAGGTGCCACAGACACACACCTGCTGGATGAGCAGGTTGCAGATTTCCTGGAGCAGAACTATGATCCTCACAGCCACGTTGTAGTGCTTGGAAGTGACCCAGATCCAACACACCATGTGGAGCAGAGGGACCAGGAAAGGCTTCACCTTGCTGAACTCAACAGCCTCTATGTTCTCCAAGGGGCCCTGGAGGGGTGTCAGGTGCAGGTGGATGTCCTGAGCTTCGGCCAGAGCTGTGGGAGGAGATGGGAGAAGTGGTGAGACCTGCTGAGATGCGGGGTCAGCAGTCAGCACCATGGTGAAGCTGTCCCATCATCTCACCTGCCTCAACATCCCTGAGCATGGTTTTGAAGGCTGGGACATAGATGCTCTTCACTCTCTCCAGCACCTCCATCATGTTCCTGACCTTCCTGGATTTCAGCTGGTCATAAATGCATTCCAGCTCATCACACCTGCAGCAGCCAAGACAGGTCACCACCCACGCTGGGGCAGCACCAGCTGTCCCTCCACACCACCCACTTCCCCTGGGCCTGATCCAGGATCTCCTCCAGCTACACATGGACTGAGTCCCAGTGGTGACAGGGAACAGGACCCACCCTGCAGGACAGCCAGGGTTGCTGGGAGTGAGCATGAGAGCAGCTCTGCTGGGGGCAGGGCTCTGCTGGAAGAAACCATGTGATGTTTCTGCAAGCACCAGTGACAGCTCTGCAGCAGGCAGGGCTTTGTCTCAGGTCAGCCTGAGCCAACACGGCACAAAGGTTTCCAAAGGGCAGGATCAAATTCCAATCCCTGGCTCATCTAACCCCACTCTGGCACCAACAGCCCAGCAGCAGCCAGCTGAGGGCACAGAAGGTGTCCATCAGCTCCACTCTGGGGCTGGTTCCCAGTAAACAGTGATGGAAAGAGCATTTCCAAAAAGCTTCCCTCATGGTGTAGCCCTGAGCTGTGCTGGGGCCCAATTAAACCCAGCCAGCTGCCCAGCAGTTCCCAGGCACCTTGAGATCATCATTATTTCATGTGTGGGAGCAGTTTTCCTCAGCTCAGGTCTCTGCACGACCCCGAGCAGCTGCTCTCCTTGGCTCACAGCAGCAGCAGCTCTGTCTGCATCAGCAGGTCCCTCCACCCAACCCAGCACAGTGCCCACTGTGCCCTGGGCAGGGCCCACAGGGTACCTGTTCTTCCAGAATTCCAGTTCCACCTTCGGGTTCGGGTTGCTGCCTTGCAGGAGAGGCTCTGAGGACTCTTTCTTCAGGGCTCTCTGGATCTGGTGACTCCAGTCAATGATGGCTGACTCAGTGGCATGGACAAGGGATTTATCAATCAGCTCCAAGCTGCACAAAACAAACCTCATGGATCACTTGGCTTTCCACTCATCCATGTGGATCCAGCTCAAACAACCCCTTGGGCAGCTGGATTTTGCAGTGACAGCCTAGATTCGTGTTTCAAAACCACAAAACAATCAAAACCATAAGACCTTGTCTTTGTTTTAAACGGGAATTACAGACTGAAGAAAATGGATGAAGCTCCGCAGCAGAGTGGGCAACGACACATTGGTCATGAAGTGAATCCCCACAAAGATCCAGCTGCCACCCCTGCACAGCCAGTCACTGTCACACCAGACCCTTTTGGGTTCAGGGTCTGACCTGCAGAGCTGTACCCTCAGCAAGTCTCTCTCTCCCCACTCTGTTCTCCCTGAATCTATTCTACCTTCCCACTTGCTTAATTCAGAGAGAAAGGACAGAGAGTGGGAGAGGTCAGGTCACCCCCCTGCCTTGGAAGCAGTAACTCCCCATTCTATCCCACTCAGGAGATAAAACCACACAGGGTCATACTCACAATCTCTCGTTTTCCGGATCAATGTCCTCAATTCCCTCCGAGCCAGCTGGAAGAGGCAGCAAGGTCCTGCCCTTTACTTGGCCAACAACCATGAAAACAGTTTTTTTTAGGTTGTGGACATGATGGATGATGTCCTGTGACACCACTCGTGGCCAGCCCTGGTGGTTCTTCCGGTTGGTCAGGATGGGCACAATCACCTACAGCAGGAGTCATGGAAGAGCAATGGAGAGGAGCTGAAGGAGGGCAGGGTTAGTTTGGATAGTAGGAAGAAATTATTCCCTGTGAGGGGGTTGAGGCCCTGGTACAGGTTGCTCAGACAAGCTGTGGCTGCCCCATCCCTGGAAGTGTCCAAGGCCAGGTTGGACAGGGCTTGGGGCAACCTGGGACAGTGGAAGGTGTCAGAACCATGGCAGAGTGTCAGAACTGGATGATTTTTAAGGTCCCTTCCCAGTCAAACCATGCTGTGATTGGATGATTCTTTGAGAAAAAGTGTTGCAGAAGACAGACAGGCCACCAGGCCCCACAGTCCTGTCTTGGCCAAGCCTGGAGATCCATATTCATCACTGTCCCAAGCAGTTCCCTGTCTATAAGAAACAAGGGTAGGTGGACCTCCAGCCCACACTGTTCCTGGTGAACCCTCTCCTCTGAATCCAGGCAGCTGAGAAGGGCGGAAACCAGCAGACACAGTGAGCTGACCCATCCTCAGGCTCTCCCAGCCTCTCAAACCTGCAACTACAGACGGCTCTGTGGGGTCTTGTCCTTTGCTCTTCCCACGTCTCCCCGTGCTGACCCCCCAGCCCAAGGGCTGTCCCTGCACAGAACCCCCCTGTGCACAGAGATGGAAGGTCTTCTGGTACCTCCTGGGATCTACTGCTGCTGAGGGTTCCTCCATCCCCACCCCAACCACACTGCCAACCTTGAGCACAGCCACTCTTTAGGTTATTTTCTGAGGTTGCAGCCCACTAAATACGATTTCTGTCTCCATCAGTGAAGTTGCAGGGTCTGCACTGACCCAGCACCATGCAGACTCATGGCTGGGCTGGGCTTGCCTGGACCTGAGCTGCTTCTGGCTTGTTTGTGATGGCAACAGTGCCTGTCACCCCCCTGGGCTGGCTGCAAGGCTGGAGCCAGGTTGTCCCTGGTGACAAACAGCCTTTGTGTGACCAGGCTTCAGGGAGGCTAAAGATATAAAACCAGATACAAATGGACATAGAATTAAAAAGGAACGAAGCAGCCCAGCACCACCAGGTGCCATCCCAGGGTGCTGAAGATTCTTTGCCTCATGCCTGAGGAAGATCAGTAGCAGCAACCACAGTGCCCAGGGAGCCTTGGGAAGGGGAGGCACAACCTCAGGGCACACAGGCAGACCCAGAGTGCTCCCCTTCAACGGCTTCAGCTGCACTTCTAGCAGGATTTGACCCTATTACTCAAATCACTTGGACTGCTAATGAGAGTAATGTCATAACCAGTCAAATAAGCTGTTTGTTTTCTTTTGGATTGTTAAAATGACAACTTGGCCCCCAGTGAACCCCCAGCCCCAGAGCACAAACGTGCGTCCCCTGCAGCCATCACAAGGGGTAGGTGTCACAAGCAGATGAGGTGGCCCCAGCTGTGACCCACAGACATGGTTTGGCAGGTCAGTTCCTGATGCCTCAAACAACTCACAGAGAGTTTGACACAAAATGTTTATTTCACTGAAAAATTCTTCTAAGACTGTCCTAAAAACTTGTGACAAAAGCTTCTTTCACACAGACCCACCCCAGCCCCTGGCCTGGCACCATCATTCTGTTAACCATGAAAAATGAGAACAAATCCAGACACAATCTGCTCCCTACGGAAATACCATATCTGCCTGCACAGGGGAGGGACCAAAGCCTGCAAATGCAGCTGGGATGTGCAAAACCAGGTGCTGAGGGCAGCCAGAAAGCAGCATTTAAGACCTGGGGAGTGTTCCTACCCCAGCACCTCCCTGTAGCAGATGGTGTTTGCAGTGCCCACTGTGGCTCCCAGCAGCACCCACAGACAGAGCAGAAACTGCTGCTTGAGCCAGCTTTCCAAAACCCAGGGCTCATCCAACACCTTGGAAGAAGGGCTCCCCATGTACATAATGTGTTAACCTACAAAACTCTGAGAGCCAGCCTGGCAGCCTGCTCTTGGGAATCCAGTATCAGTCACCAACCCAATATACCAACAGCATCATCTGAGCTTTGCAAAGCAAGCAGTTCCTCTGCTGTCCCGTTTACAGCCTCCTGCTGGGACTTCTCTAGGCCAGGGGCCATCAGGAATAAATTCAGACAGTGCTGTCTGGGTCAGGCTACTAACACAGGAAGGAGAAAGTTCTTGAACTTCTTGAAGATCCCTTTGGAGAAACATCAGCCCACCTGAGGTAATTGTGCACTGAACAGCAGAAGGCTCTTTTGAACATCAGGGACCACTTTCTGATGGTGAGGGTGACCAGGTGCTGGCAGAGGCTGCCCAGAGACTGTTAAGTCTCCATCTGTGGAGATACTTGAAAACCACCTGGATGTGGTCCTGGGCAACTGGTTCTGGTCCTGGGTGGCCTGGCTTGAAGAGGGGCTTGGACCAGATGGCGCTGAGATGTCCCTTCCAACACTGACTGTCACAGAATCACAGAATGGTTTGGGTTGGAAGGGACCTTAAAGATCATCTCGTTCCAACCCCTGCCATGGGCAGGGACACCTTCCACTAGCCCAGGTTGCTCCAAGCCCCGTCCAACCTGGCCTTGGACGTTTCCAGGGATGGGGCACCCACAGGTTCTCGGATTCTCAGGAATCCATCCCGTGTTTCTGTATCGCGGGTCAGTCCCACACGGACACCCTTGTGAGACAGCCTGGAAGCGCCGCGGGTCAGGATTTAGGGGTTTCTTTTAGGGGGCTCTACAGCCCCGGCGCTGCCTCAGCGCCCCTTACCTCCTCCAGGAGGGCGGCGAAGTGCGCCAGGGGGTCGGCGGGCAGGTCCCCGCAGAGCAGCTCCGCGGGGCCGGCGCCGGGCGGGCGGAGGAAGAAGACGGCCTTGCTGGCGGCGGGGGGCGGCGGGGGCGGCCCGGGGCGCAGCCCCAGCTCCCCTCCGGGGCCGCGCCAGGCGAGCAGCGCCGGCCCCGCCGCGCCCCGC